CATAAAAATAATAATAAAAAACATTAATAAAAACATAACAAAAATAACACTAACAGTCTCCTCCTAGATCTGGAGTGAACCGGTGGAAATGAGCTCCGGTCTGTTCGAATCGTCTCCAAGTCGCCCGTGGACCGCAGTGAACACCTGCAAGAACTCAACACCGGAAGTGTTTTCCGGTGAAGAGCCTCCGACGCTCAAGTCAGTGAATGAAGAGAGAAGGAGCTCTGCTCAGTGGGAGCAGCAGCTGAATATTGAATGAGGAGAATAATGGTTAGGGTTTGGAGTCACCTCTACTCCTTTATATAAGGGTAGAAATGCTCATTGGTAATACCTGAAATGCCCTAGCCGACTTACCCGAAGTGTCCAAAATTCCCTGGTCGCTTCACATTCTACCCACTCTCTGAATCAGCACCCAGATTCCTTCTTATCTTGTGTAGATTCCCTAGTTCTGGGAGCCCTGTTTCGTCATTGAGGTAAATGCGAGTCGCCAGAAGTACTCTAAGTCGGCTCGAAGCCTTGTCGAGTCGACTTATGGTCCTGCGATTATATTTGAGGTTCTTAGAATGTTCATTCGCCTTCTAACGCATAAGTCGACTTTAAACAAAGACGACTTCCTGAAGTCGTCTTTTGATCGTCCTTAGGCCAGTGGTGATCCTTAAATGATGGATAGGCGACGTCGACTTTGGAGGTATCGTCTTAATGATATTCTTGGCAACGCGAGTCGAGTAACTAATGCCTGAATCAGGCTACGACAATAGGGCTATATCATCTAGTCCCCCCAAAGAATTACTCTAAGCGACTTTAGAGCTTAAGAGTAAGTTTAGTAATTGGGCCTTCCTTTTTCCTTCGTTGGTGAATCGTCTCGTCTTTACTCTCAAATCGTCTCGTCTTTACTCTCAAATCGTCTCGTCGGCGACTCCTGCGATTCGCCTAGGTCGCTTAGGGTTCAACTTTATTACTTAAGCACTTTTTCTGAGCATATCCACTTATCATTATTTCGAATTTCGAATTTTTGAATTGGGACCTGACACGCCGCCTCATCTTTCCTTTTGTCGCTTCGAATTCTGTGCCACATATGAACCGTTGATTTTACTTTAATCCAACGGCCAGGGTTCCACAGTTTCTCCTATAAGTACTTTCTTCTTCCTCCCCTTCACACTTTTCGCACCCAAGGACTCTCGAGCTTTCCTTTTTCTTCCGGCAATAAAGCATCCCGCGATTCCGGCGTGCACCTCCTTCCGGCTACTTCTCCAGCACTTTCGGAACTTCCTAATCCATCAATATGTGTAAGTTTCCCTTATCCTTTATTTCTGAAAGATTTTTATGCCTATTTTCTGGGTTTTCGATTTT